GTCATCCTTTAGTAATATGGAGGCTGAAGGAGCCTGTAAGGCCTCTGAAGAAGGGGGCCCAGCAGTTGCCCCAGCTGGCATTTTCAGAGTTAAAATGGCCATTGCGGCTTGTGTGCGATTATTGCCCTAATGGGTTGTTTCTATTAGAGCTAATTGTAATTATTAAATAATCATTTCCAGTTGTCCACTGATGATTTGTGCATGAAATAATTTAATGAAAATAGACCCAAAAGTTTCAGCCATGGAAAGACCCATTTCTGGAGAAGAAAATATTTGTGCTCTCTCTTACCCTAGCTACTAGTTCTTTGAAAACGAACACAGAGCGAACTTAATTGCTTCTGGCAACTCTCCGAGAACGTAGTCCCAGGACCTCTGCAGAGCCTGGTGTGAGCCCGGAGAAGCAGGAAGGGCTAGGAGTGCCGTCCTAGGAGAGGGACCTGAAGGTTTCTTGTTTAGCCATGTGTTCAGTGAGCGACACCTGGCAGCACAGTTCCAGGAAAAGGAGTTCATACTGGGTTTTTCTCTTCCTGGCAGATGATCTCTGAGAAAACTTAACATCAGTGTTCCCAAGGTGCTGATGCGTCTGTCGCGGGCCTCCACTTACTGTGTTTGTTCTAAATTCTTCCCATAGTAGTGATGGATTCTCAGGCAAAGCTACTTTTAATGTTCCTGAAAGCAAAAAGGGTGTTTGCTGAAATAGTAGCTATTTATGCTGTATGTTCACATAGACTCTTATCAGGTCAATCTTGGCTTTTGTTGTTCCTTAGCCAGAAAGGGTCCTGACCTGTCTTTGTCTCCAGCCGCGTTGCCTACAGGAAAATACTGAGTAAAAATGTTAAAATACGGCCATCAGCTCATGAGCGATTCACTCTAGTGGTCAGCCAGCCCAAGCAGGGATCAAAGGCCTCTGACTCTCATGGTTTACATGAATTTAATTGAAATTCTAAACAAAACTAAAAATAAATTTGTCTAGCATGCTTTACCAATGGACTGTTGCTGCTTGCCAAAGAACTAAATCAGTGGCTCACGGTTAACCTACTCTAAGCAAATGCTGTGACCTTTGCTGTTGCCTTGATTTGACCTGTGTGAGATAACAAAGCAGCACCGGTGGCCGGCGCCACACCATGCTAGCTGCCTGTGACCCAAGTTAAGAGTCAGAACCCCACGACTTTGGGCATTGGCTCCAATGTATAGAAGGCCTCTGACCTTCCACAGTTGATTTCAACGTGGTTTCTGAAAGAGGATTGGTAAAACTCAGAGAAGTTGGGGTTCTTCCCAAAGATCTGAAAAGCACAGCAGCCAGCCACTGGCTTTTACCGCGACCTCAGTCCAAAATGGCGATCCTGCTTGCAGCAATCTCAGAATGAGACTGAGAGTCATCTTTTCCCATTTTCTATTCCTCTCTAGTGCTGCGATTAAAGGCGTCATGCACCGCCTGGTTTCTACGGCAACCGGTGTGGTCACTGGGATTAAAGGTGTCACCACTGCCTGGTGTAAGGCTCATCAGTGGGGCTGCTTTGTTTATTAAAACAGGTGAAATGCAGGTTCCTATGTCAGTGAGTAGCAATTGTGCATGGCTCTGCTTCTGGCCTTTCGCGCTCCCTCAAACGTCAGTTGCTCACCGTGCTTGTCCTTCTAGTTCTTCAGAGGATACTCATTCCCTTTCCCACGGTTAGCTCTGTAACCAGAGCCCTCCCCCCGCCTGAGCTCTAGAGCTAACTTCTAGGCAGCTTGTCTGCTCAGTGTTCTCTTGTGCCTGCTACTGTAGCAAGCTGCGTGGAGTCACACCTGATGGAGATGTATAATCAACTCCTGAGATGGCTAAGGCTTGACCTATGCTATGATCAAGCAATGATTATCAGCTGCCTGCATATGCGTGGGCCTATGGGCAGTGCCCACCTGGCAATCCGGGATTGGCAGCCCATGCCTACTTAAGGGCTGGGAGAGGTTTTGCCTGGAGAGAGGAGAGAGGGAGAGAAGAGAGAGAAAATTGTAAAAGGTCTGGAATAAACTGCAGTGAGAAGAGCTCCGGTGTGTCGCGCGTCATCCTTGCGGGTCGAGGGTGGCCGTTACATGCTACCAACAGGCTTCCTGGACCATTACATATATCCGGTCTCTTGTTAAAAGCTCTCCTCCAGTCTACAGTGGGCAGAACAAAATCCTCTGTCTGTAGTCACCGTAAGTTCCCTTTTTGCAAATGCTGTGGGCAAGACTCAGTGCAAGATGCTTTAGGAAGGACAAACAGGCCACCTTGCTGGTCTTACACTGTGTCCTTGATTAGCTTGGGTTTCCTGCATGGCAGACAGGGCATTGTTAGCTGTAAATGTGTAGGGCCAGTCAGGTCTCCAACCACATTCTTTATTAGATATTTCTAGTTTGTATCATTCTATAAGGTGTACAAGCTTGGAGACCCATGGAGTCCTCCCCAGGTTTCTGATGGGGCCTCTGATATTTCAAAAAACTAGCCGCCTAATACCCAGCACTGTATCAAACTCTTGGCATTTACAGCATGTTAAGGCCACCAAGAAGGACAACAGGGAACACACCACCATAGACCAAGCTGGTTTTATTTTTGCACTGCAGCAAGAGAGGACACATGTCCCGGAATGCTGTGGAGTCAGGAAGACATGGGCGGTGTTGAGACTGCAGACTGGTCAGAATCCTCGAGCGAGGAAGTTTCTGGGACAGTCAGGGGTCTCATCTTTTGAATGTGGACCTGTGCAGAGCTGTGGTTGGGTTTTATTGCCTCCTGCTGAGAGCCAGCCGGGTGAATGGACTGCTGTTATGTGTCTGGACTCAGTTCGTCTTGCACATCGAGGTCTGTGTTGTGAGTCATGGTTTCACAAGCTGCGGCTTTTACTTAAGTCCCAGGTCCCCTTCCACATGCTGGTTATAAGTTGAATTTGCTTTACTATAAAAGTAGAAGAAATAACGGCGCAGTCTCTCTCGGGAATTCCCAGTTGAGGCTATCATAATTGGCATGTGATGTAATAGAGTTAAGAAAAAAAGTTTTTCCCTTGTTCTTATTTTTTTAGCATGCCATTTTTGTTGTTTTTCTTGCATTATTTTTTTGAAGACAGGGTCATAGTTAGCTCAGGCTGGCTTTGAGTTTGCTGTGTAGCTGAGGCTGGCCTTGGACTCTTGATTCCGTCTGCTTCTACCTCCCAAGGACTGGGATTACAGGTGTGTGCCACCACATCTGACTGAGCATATTACTTTGTTGAAATTCTATGTTACATAAGGTTTATTTACATACATTATACACTAAGCAAATTACATACTTTTTTTATTTAATTCCAACAATATGAAGTAGGTGATATTTTTCTTACTCTTATTTTAAAGTAAAGAAACTGAGATGCAAATCGGTTGACAAAGCATTCCTGGCCACCCTGCCAAGATACAAGGGCCTTGGACTTTATCAGACAAGCATTTACATAGGCGCTCTCCCAGTGCTTTTCCTAATCTGAAAAATAAAGCTTGGAAGTAGTTGTGACCATAGAGGGAACTGAGACCTGGGAATGTGAGGTAGCTCCCCTGGGGTTACGTGACAGAGGAGGATCTGGCATCAGGCACTGAGGCCTCTGAGCAGCTTCCCTGCTTCCCTTTAGCCCTGTGCTGTGGAGTCTAGACTCCCACATCTGTGTTCACCACCACTGAACAGCCTCAGGCTGGAAAAGATTCATGGACGTGTTAGCTGGGCTTGGCAGATAAATGGGATTATTTCTGCATGGATCATGGAAACCAGGCTCTGACATTCCACTGGGAGCAGGGGGCCTCGAGTAGCCCTGGGAACCAGAGCAGAGCAGTCAAGAAACAATACAGTTCTGAAATACAGAAGATGGAGAAACAGTAGGTGGTGACCCATGGAGCTGGAGACAGGAATGAAAACCAGACTGGGGACTTCATTCTTCATGTGTGACCAAAAGGATGCCCTTCTCAATACCACACTTGGCTCCAAATGAGCATGCAGGAGGGGCTGGCAAGGATATTCATGCTGAAGGCAATTCCAGAGATGTTTTGAGCATGCGTGAGACAAAGGACGCTTCAGGGAAGAAGTGTTGTTCCTGAGACAGTCCTGAAGAAATGGCTTTAAAGAGCCCAGCGCCCATGTTAATGTGTAAGCCCTTGCCACTACTTTCAATCAGTCCTGAGTCTGTAAGAACCTCCTTTGTGCCTGGAGTGCTGGGGGGGGGGGGGGTGATCTGCGTTTAGTGTTCACATCAATCTTATAAGGTAGATGCTATTCATGCCCTAATTATATAATTGAGAAAACACGCTCAGAGGACTCAGGGGTTTGAGGAATTGACCCGACGGTGAGTGGTGGAGCCAAGGCTTCCATCCGTTCTGATTCTCCCATTCGTACTGTTGTATTGCCTCAAGAAGTTTGTTTAGGAGATGCAAAATACCTCAAACTTCACAGCCTTCTTAGGTCCCGAGGAGGCTGGGGTGGCAGCGGGACTAAGAACTGAAGGTTTCAGAGCTGGTTTATTCCTTCCCAGGTCTGGGCCGGAGTTATCTTTCTCTGCTTGCTTCCCTCCAGGGAGCTTCCTGGCTTAAAACAGTCATTTCAGCAAGGAATATCACTTCTAAGTAATGCTCCCGAGGCTGCAGACTGAGGTCCTGGTCCCTGCTGGTTGACTGCGCTCTTCCTGGGGACACTGGTTCATTGTCCAATTAGCAGTTACCTTGTTGCTGTCCTTCCTGTTGCTAACGGTAGCTCCCTTATTTAACTAACAGCAGGTGATGTGCCCTTGGAAGTGCAGGCACACAAAGGCCTTTGCTAATTGGGAGCTAGTGATAGCTTGGCTAATTTAGGGATGTGGCATTCCCAATCCTTGCTGCAGCAAAGGAAAGGTTGGGATAAGGCTCATGGATCGTGTATTCTTGAAAGAAGAGACTGTTTGTTGTAAAGTTTTTATCCTCCGTAGAATGCACTTAAAAGGTCTCTTACTTTATTGTTCTAAAATGAATTTTCCCGCTGCCCCTGTTGTCAACCACAGGTAGAGCGGCTAGCAAGAGCCTGGGCCAAAGAGTGAAGTCACCTTGGAGCGTCCTTGGTAAGTTACACTTTCTGCATCTAACTGTAATTATTTCTCTCTCTGTGTGTGTGTGTGCGCGTGCATGCATGTGCACGCACATGCAAGTATGAGACTGGAGAACAGGTCAATTTCGGGTGTTGTTCCTCAGGAGTCATCAACCTTGTGCTTTTTGGGGCACAGTCTCTAGTAGGAATCTGGGATCCCCAGTTAGGTTGTGTTGACTTGCCAGCCCACCCCAGGGGTTCTCCTGTCCCTCCCCCCTCCCGCCCCCAGCACTGGGATTACAAACGTGAACCACACTCAGCTTTTACACACATGGGGACTGAACTCGGGTTCCCGTGTTGGCATCCAGGCGTTTTACCAACACAGCTCTCTCCCCAGCCTCAGTTCTTCCAGTCTCTCATGGTGGTGGTCAGAAGATGTGACCTCATGGGGCATCTCAGTGATTAGACTAGAAAATCTTTGGAAATCCCTTGGCAGACACACCCCTCAGTACGTAGTGAGAACTCGCCACACGATTTTGCACTAAATACCAAGGAAATGGCTGTTGTATGGTAGGCTTGGGTATGGGCTGTGTGCTGCCTAACTCCCAAGATGGGCGTGGTAGAGATGCCACCCTGGGCTCACGCCTTCCCCCAAACTGCCCGAGTGTCTTCTGGGTATCAGTTCTTTTTACCCTCACTCCCATCCACTTTTACCCTTGCTGATGACCTAGACACAGATGTTATATCCATGCTCCAGTTTATCTGGCTGTTCAGCTTGGTGTGTGAGCCATTCATGCTGTTATGGCATGGTTCAGTCCAGGTGACCTCTTTTCCGTCTGCCACAAAAGCCAGGGACGGTCTCAATGGTCTTGTTTTGTTTCGGTTGTTGATATATCATATATTGGTTGCCTTTATGTATTTTAGTGTTTCCTAGGCTACTTTTACATTTTCAGCATTGGTGAATAATACATATAATTTTAGCTTTAAAGATTACGTTCATTTTGTGTGCCCTTGCATTCGGGCGTGTGTGTTTACATATGTGCTGTGTATATTCTGGGGATTGCACTTAATTTATCAGGCTTGGTGTCAAGTGTCTTTATCTAAAAAACGATCTCGACAGCTCCAAATTCTAGCTTTCCAATAATTTTGATAATGGAAATTCATGGTTTCACTTGACCTTGAAAAACGGTTACACTTCTGCTTAAGAGAACTTAACTGTATATGATCAGGGCAAGAAGAGAAAAGGGAAGACGTGGAAAGGCAGGAAGGGGTGTTAAGAACGAGCCCCATGGTCATTGGGGTAGAACTGGCAATCGTGTCTGCCTGTCCATCTGGCTCCAGCGAAGGACGGTCCCTGGCCACACCCACTGCTCAGCTGGCTCAGTTCTTAGTGGTTTTCCTTATGTGGGCATATTGCCCTGTGGGGCTTTAATAAGTACTTTATATGTCATGAGACTCAGAAGCCTGCTCCTTTAGCAAGTTCTCATCCCAAGAAATTGGGATCTAGTCCAGCACCTGAACGGAAACTCAGAGCAGTGCTGAAACCGCTGATCAGCGGTGCAGAAGTCCCTGTGAGACATGTTGTTCGTGAGTCTTTAGTCAGACTGACCTTTTCAAGAGACCTCCTCTGTGTTGGATGGTGTGAAATGGTCCCGGGCTTCCCAGAGCTCCTGCCTCAGCCAGACAGAACCTGTGCAAATCCCTGCAGGTGCGTTCCCTCCTCCTGTTTGCCCGCTGTCTTTTCCACCCAGGCCCTCTGCACATGCTGTGGTACTGAACTCCATGGCCATGCTCCTTAAGGTCCTGTCTTGCTTACTCCTCTCTGTTGGCGCCAGAAACTTGTGCCTCTCTGGGCTCTTGACCCTCCCAGACTTCCTGGGCTCCCCTGAGAAGGGAACTCAGACGAACGTATGTGGCACAGATAGCTGAAGTCCTACAGATTCCAGAATTAGCTCTTATTTCCCCGAAACTTTATTCAGAGAATTTCAAGGCCAGTGTTTTTGTATCAGCGGGCTTGTCTTTGGGATAGGTTAAGGCTGGCTTTTCTTCACAAGTCCAGTACTATGTGACATAAAAGGGCTCATAGTTGTGAGTAGGTTGGGAACGTCTCTGTGAGAGGTGGAGGGTGCACCGTGATGTGATGTCTGTCACAGGGCAGTCAACACACAGCCTCGCCAGCTTGCTGTATTAGGCGAGGTCAGGGTTCAGGAGACCTTGAGGAGATAGATATTTTACATAGAAATAGGATGCTAGCCATTCCATGCCCTTCAAAGATGACTCATCTTGCCCTTGCCATTCTCAAAAAAATCATCAAGCATGTCTTCCTTTCTGCCTAAGCTCCAAATCAAGTTATTTTCTCCCACTGCCATCCAAGGAGCTGAATCAAAGCCAAGCTAGATGGCAGGAAGAAACTCTTGTCATTAAGAGAGAAAGAGAATCAAAAAGCCAAGAATAGCATTTGTGTGGGGTGGGCAGCCATGGGATGCTGGTGTAACTGCTGTCAGTCACGTTTGTCACCATCTGATGAGATGGTTCTGTCGGCTCTGCTAGGACATGTTGTCTACCCCAGTGCCATGGTGTCTAAGAGAGTATGGGTTAGAAACAAGAATATTGACGATTGGGGAGGTTGCTCAGTTAATAAAGAGTTTTTCATGAAAGCGTGATGTCCTAAGTTCGATCCCCAGAACCTGCTTAAAAAGCCAGAGATGGCTGTGGCTTCCATTGCCACTAAGGTCATGGATGCCCCCGGGTCTGGACTGCTACCTGAGACCATGTTGTTGTCTGAGGCCCATTCTACCTCCAGGGCTGAGCTGCTGCCAAGGACCATGTCTGGGTCTGTGTTCCTACTGTAACTAGTGTCTGTGTTACCACAGTGGTTCATGGGAATCATGTATGTCAAGGTCTAAGGGCCGTGCTGAGTAGGCCCCACTCCTCACTGGCCCTGGGATAGCTGGCCCTGCTCCTCACTGGACATCACAGCAGAAGAGTTGGCCGCACCCCTATGGGAGAAGGTGCTCCCCATGCAAATGCACATGCGCACACTCACACACTCTCTTACGTACACACACATGCACACAATATACACATATATTCACACACATGATGGCACACATGCATATACACACATGCACACACTGACAAATAGACACACTTGCGCATGCACACACACCCATGTACACACATGTACATGCATTCACACACATGCACACACATGTATACACACATATAAAATATATATGAAGAGAATCTCAGCAGGGCCTAAATCTCCATTTGCTTCCCACCTCTTCTCTTTGAAGCTGACCTAGAAAGCCGCCCCCTCCCTGGGTCAGCTGTACTCTCTTTGTTTGCCAGAATTTTCTCAAAGCCTCTGGCAGGAACAAACTATTCTGTGCACTTTGTAAGTGGAGGCTGTGACGTGATTGGTACCCACGACAGGGTCTGGCCGATGATCGGTGCGCCCTTGCCGAGTGAACGAGTGACAAGTGAAAGGATTTAAGATTCTCTGCTTCTCTCTTTTTCTTGCAAGTTCCTTCCATTCAAAGTCAGGACTAGCTGTGCAGGGCTCAGGGGCTCAACAAAGGCCCTCAACAAATCTTTGTGCCTGGTCTGCCTCCTGCTGTTCCAGGTGTGCCTGGCTGGCATTTAAAGGAATGTGTTGTGAAAGCTTTTGTTAGCCCTCTCAATCTGATTGAGAGTATGGGACTTTACAAAGCCTCAAAACCAGAGGAATAGCTTTTCTAATTCTTCCTGGGCTAGAACTGGGGGAACAAAAGGATCCAGGCCACATCTTTCTAACCTGGGTGGGCAACTCTGGGTTCACGAGGGTGAGATGAACACAGTCATTTACTCTGAGGAAGAGGAAGGGTTTGGGGAACAAGGAGAAGAACGCAACTTAACCAGAAAAGCATCCACAATGAGGCTATCATCCAGGGTTTCTTTAAGTGATGTCTTTATCAATTCGCTGAGAATTTCATACAAGGTACTTTGATCTAAGTCAGCCCCCATTGACCTTCTCTCCCCAACTCCTTCTCTCCCTAACCCCACCACCCTACCTCCCCCACAACTTCATGTCCTTTTCTTGTTTAAACAAATAACCCCTGGACTCTCATTTGGGCTGCCTGCAGACTGCTGGGTGTGGGGCCATCCACTGAACATGGGCTACCTACTGGACACCACATCCTTGAAGAAAACTGAGCCCCCCTGCCCCAGAAGCCATCAGCTGTCCATAGCTGGGGTAAGGCTGGGGGGCTGGGGGTTGTCTCCTAAGCCCTTCTAACTCCCCCAGAAGCCATCAACTGTCCATAGCTGGGGTAAGGCTGGAGGGCTGGGGGTGGGCTCCTAAGCCCTTCTCACTCCCCCAGAAGCCATCAACTGTCCATAGCTGGGGTAAGGCTGGGGGGCTGGGGGTGGGCTCCTAAGCTCTTCTAACTCCCCAGAAGCCATCAACTGTCCATAGCTGGGGTAAGGCTGGGGGGCTGGGGGTGGGCTTCTAAGCCCTTCTCATTCCATGCTCGATGCTGACTGACTTGACAGTGTGTAGGCACTCATAGCTGCCGAGGTGTCATGACTGCTGTGGTCCTATCTTGTGCAGGGGCAGCTCCCGTCTAGGCCTCCCCAACCTCTGGCTCTTATGTCTTCCCACCCCCCTGTTCCTAGGTGGTTCCTGAGTCTTGGGGAGAGGGGGCACCCCCCGTGGCTGAGCAATCCTCTGACATTAGCTCTTCACTCTGACCAGTTTTGAATCTCTGAGCTAATCACTGAACAAGTGAGGTCCAAGAACTGCACCAATAGAGACAGAAATTTGAAGGCAGTTTCTACTCTGCGTTTAGCAGAATAATAGTCATAGGTTGACCTCCCGGTGCCTGTGAGCTCCCCCTGACCGTGTGCTCTTGACCAGATTTGCAGTGCCTTGTATGTGTTTCCTTTTGTGGAGTGTAGGCCCGTGATGTCAATCATTTATTTATTTGCGCGTTTTGGGGGTAGAGTGGGAATGGAGAAGCCACAGTGTCTGTGTGGAGGAGCACAACTTTTGGT